TGTCTCTTAACTTGTGGCATATCTAATCATATAGATGTATTACAACTCATTGAAAAGGAAAATTAGGACGTAGGACGTCTTGAGTACAGAAAGGTTTCACTGTAAACGCGAGTGAAGTAATAAAGAAAGGTCATTTGTGCAAGTGCAATTTCTAAAGTTACGAACCATGTCTTTACGTATATGTTTATCTAACGAGTCATTTATTAGAATATACTATTTTCATGGCTTTGACCTAATTTAGTATCAAACTTGCGTCAGGTACGTGTGGTTCTTTAGTAAATGCATATATAATGTCATGAAATGTATTGTGCCGAGTGTAACAAGGACAGGGGAGAGCAACTCTTGAATTCACTCGTCCCAACGAAATATTTTAATTTTGTTTCCGTACACTGAGAAAATCTGGACAGGTATGTTTTAAATTATTTTTATAGAAAAGTACAAGTACAACAACTAGAGTACATAAATCGGTAGTTTCGACACAGCACAAACATCTTTAATACCCCACATTAGCAGCGTATCCATGTACTTCACTCAGTTATGATAGTTAAATGTATTCTTTTTATTTGCATACTACAAACGCAAGCACTTTTCTTTGTCTTAAAGTTCAATGTTTCTGTGTATTTTTTTACAAATAAACGATTGATTTAAACGTCTAGTCTTGATATTATTGTATCTTGTCTCTTTTATTTTTCACAAACAAACATAAATAAGAACACATTTAGAATTTCAAGATGAGCGGTAAATAAGTCTAACTTCTATTGTCGCAATTGACAGGATGCTTGGTTGTTCGTTTGTTGCGTAAAATCAAGCGTTTATATAATATCAGAAAGAAACAGCAAGTGGCGCTCTTCAGTTTCACATCTTGCAACGGGTGAGATGTTTAATAAAGAAATTACTATTTAAAAATGACATTGTGGTAGCCCAAATAGATATTTCTGGCTCAGAGACATAAAAAGATCTAAACAAATACAAAGTCGACATTTTGGCTACCCATCTCTGTCAACATATTAGTATATAACGGAAATAAAATGACAAGAAACTTCGTAACTGTACTCAACGACATGCACTTGTCAGAAGCTCTTATGTGTCTCTGATCCAGAAAAATTCCTTTATTTTTACTGCTGAAAAAAAAAAATTGTCCCTATGTCAGGGATGACAATTGCTTAAAACTGTTATTTTTGTTAGATGAAATTTGTTTCCGAGAAACGGATTATTAATTTTGTTCGAATTTTTTTTTTTTTTTTTTTTTTGGTTTTTTTGGCCTGATAATTGTCAAGGGATTATTATTATTATTATTATTATTATTATTATTATTATTATTATTATTATTATTATTATTATTATTATTATTGCTAGATAAAATTAAAATTAAAACTTTTTAAGCATTATCTTGGTTATCACATTACATTTTTGATACTTTTTTTCGTTCTTGCTAGTTCTTATAGGAAAATATCTATTAACATACCGTCAATAATGTAAAACTCGTCCATGTCGTACTTGAAGACACGTAAATAAGATCAGATTTGATCTAGCAATTTTTAATATGTACTGCTTGCGTTTTTGCAAGCATTGTTTTCATTTCTAGTCGAGACAATCTTTTTTAACGCTGCTGTAAGAGAAACACCAATACCAGATATTATTAAGAAAAACGGATTTAATGATACTTCGCTTGATATTATACCAATGCCAGTCATTAGCAATGGAAAACACGATATTACCGGAGGTATTTTACCATAATACACGTAGCATTTGTTTGCACACCAAAGGTTTTATGATCAAATTTATAATACTGATTTTGAATTTTTACCCTGACACATGATTGAAATCAATCATTTGTTGTTTTTTTTTTTCATTTTGTTATATTTATTTTCTAATAACATTATGTCACAGTAAAAATTCTAGTACCAACAATCGAATCAACAAAATTATGAAATGTATCATTATCAGCTATAAAATCTCTCTGCTTGTCAAAAAAAATTCTGACGATGCCTTCTTGTATTGCCCATCTGTTAAAATCTCGTTTTTCTTTAACCAACTACATGAATTGAATTTATCATTTACAGTACACAAATACAATTTGTTTCATTTACCAAACTTTTATATATGCTTTCAGTTTCATCAATAAACCCGATTACAAGAACAATTTTATCTAACGTAAAATTTTTAAGAACAAAATGTCTAATAATTGCGTATGTTGTTACAAAATATCTTAGCATTTCTCGCAATAGCTGATTTTTTTTGGTATATCTTCTGTGACAAAATGTTACTTTTGCCAATAGTTTTTTTTATATGCCTGCTCAGTTTTCTCAATTTCGTTATAATAATTACGTATTGACAATGGTCTAAAGCGCTGGAGAGAGGGCTGGCGAACAAACATCATCAGCTTCACAGAAATCGTATTAAAGTTTGTTTTGGTTTTGTAAATCTATTGATTCAACGTTATTCAAAAATACTTCTCGACATCATTATTATAATCATCAATTTACTGTTCGAGATTTTCGATTATGCTTAGCGATTTGTTAACTATAATCGGATCTTTATTTCGTGTTATTGGTATAATTGCGTTTCAGCTATTAAATCAGTATTTTTAACATCAAACTCAAGCAATATTTTTAATAAGTTTTCAATTCGATTTTACTCTTCTTTATAATCATTTGGATGAGAATATCTGCTTATTGTATCATAACTGTTTATTGTGTTTCTCAGTGGTAATTGACATGAACGATTTATAATAATCTCATCTAATCTTTCTTGATCTGATTTTTTTGTATCTATTTCTTGTAAATTCACACTATTATGATCTAATGCTTTAACATCAAAACTAGGATTAAAAACATATTTATAAAATTCTTTTTCAACAGTTTCTATTGCTGGTTCCGACATTAATTTACACCGTTGGATTAAAATTTTATATTAACAACTTACTTACACTAAAATTGATCATCGACAGTATATAAATGAAATGCAGTTAATCCTGTATACGCGCGTTCTGTGGCGACAACGTATATTCTAAAATACAGGTACTTTGTTACTGTATTTACAGCTGGAATCGTAAAATATTGCACAGTTGAAATGAAAGTGTTTGATGTATTATATAACGTTACCCAAGTCAATGTTTGATGTATTATATAACCTTACCCAAGTCAATTTTTACATTAGAACCTTCCAAGTCGCAGTTATAAATTCGCCCAATATTATAATTTAATCGGCCATGCAAATGAAACTGTGAAATAGCAACTGCTGCAGGACATGTTACTTTTCACCCAAAAAATTGATGGTTCCTTCTGTCGTCTATTTTTGACCTTTAAAAACAACACAAGCATAATGCACTTACCTCGTATCCTTTTCTGTTATTGGATGATTCAACAATCGTCGGAATATATCAAACATTATATTTAGTTTTCTTTATACCACCATCAGAAACTGTCAACGTAAGCTTTATTCGTCAAATCTGACGTATTAACTGGAGTATAAGTTGATTATATGTTGTTGGCAACCATGTAAATTTGTCCTGTCAATATCATTGACAAATTTCATAATCAACATATGTTTTGTTTACCAATTCTTCATCAACAGTTGGAGAATACGGCGACGTTATTTTATTTGCGCCCATATTCAGCGCACCAGTCATTGTACTGACAACAGGAGGTAATATAAATTAATCACATCACCAAATGATATATCTTCAGAACTAACGTGCTTTATGATCACCAGATCTTCTTTAAAAAATTCAATAATGTTATTTTGTTATTACGCATGACAATTGGTTCTATCTTTATATCACCGTCTAGTTTTAAATATGGTATTAATGAACCCTTTAGCTGTGCAAACCTTTTTGCGTTGTTTGATAAAGTTAAGCTGCCTATCATTGTATCTCAGGGTGGGGGTGCAATCGAATCAATAACAGAAAATAGCTGGGAAATACTTACTGCTTAGCATATTTTAAATTTTTCTGGTAGAATATTCTGTTATAGCCCAATAATTTTATTGCCAGACGTATTGATATTCCCGGTAACTAAACCGACAGTTTTAACCAGCTTGTTATCAACTGATTTTAGATGGGCAAAGCTCACAGCTTGTGTATTATCTTCGTTTCTCGATTGATAGGTTGTCTCAAGACCTAGCTCTAGGCGATTTGACATCGACAAGTTACCGTTTATTGTATCGCCGGATGTTTTTAAAAAATGTCATGACAAATCAGCTTTACCGCTTGTTAAAGTATCTGCAGACACCGAACCTGTCAATGTTGTTCCGACGTTTGTGTAATAGCTCATTCGTATTCTTTTAAGCATAATACAATTTATGTGGCTATTAAAATATCAATATTAAACATTATTACAGAGCGATTAGTGGTGCATAAACATACAACAAACTACCAGATTGTCATTATCACATTATTGGTAGCACAGGATCTGGTAAAACAAATTAGTTACTGAATTTACTGCTCAGCAACAACTTTACCTACAATCGAGTGTATATTTTCACAATCGACCCAAAAGACAGATATCAATTCTTAAGTGAATATAATGATAAACTGTGATGAACTTAATGTTTGCGAAGAGTTTAAATAAAACGAACTTGATTCCACAGGACATAATATAATTGTTTTTTGATGATATTCCGATAACCAACGACGATTTGAATGAAATACGATCTCATTTTTCCGTGTCACGTAATTAAAAGTGTTATTCCATTTATCTTGCCCAAGGTTTCTATAACGTCGGAATACAGGATGTTTTATACTATTTTCCGGGCTTGACAATGTTGATGTTTAGAATATTGCAAAATGTGTATATTTGTGTGTGTGTGTGTGTGTGTGTGTGTGTGTGTGTGTGTGACATAGATTTTTAACGTAGCTTTAACAATTTTTCAGTCATGTCGCTAGGATGTATGCAGTGTGACTGTTTATAGTAATGTGCAGCACCAGTCCTAACAAAAACCTCTTAATGCTGAGCGTCCAACGAGGCAGCCGTTAGTTCCATTTTTTAAAGTCTTTCGTATGGCTCAGACTGGGTTCGAATCCGCGACCTCCCGCATCGGAGGCGGATGCTCTAACTACTAGGCCAATGTATGATAGCTAACACGATATGTCATAAAAAGTTTTGTAAAATGTACTGAAATAAAATGGACAAACAAAAATTGATTTGCTAAGGAAATATACTGCGACAAGAGTGGTGTTTAAGAAGCGAGTAGAGGAAGAAAAACGAGGACAACTTGCTGCGGCAGAAGAAACCATCGAACTTTCTAGGCAGGTTATCGAGGCTGTATTTGGAAAACAACCAGATACACCAGCACTATCTGCAGATAAGCTAAAGATATAGTAGGAGAAAGGTTTCTTAGGTTTGCTCGGAGAAAAACAAAAAGTACAATAAGAAACTGCTTTTAAAAATATTGTGGAACAAGCTGAATCATGTCAAAAGATTACTTGACGATGACAGAATGATGCAAATGAAAAACAGAAGAAGAGCTTAGACGTCTTAATATAATGTATGCTTGGGTTACAAGATTTGGTAGCAATATTTTGAAAATGAATATAAAATATTTAAAGATGCAAATAATATCAATAAAAACGTTTCTGATATTAAAGGTAATTCAACGGAAGGAAAAAACTATTAACAGAACAGTTGCAAAAAATACGAACTGACAATAAAGATAATGCTGAGAATATGTTGTCAGAAGATTTTGATAAAATTACAGGCTTGTATAAGTGACATTGAGATGACATTATAGTCGGGCTTTATCTTAATGTTATTAGAAATATGTTGGCTAAAGAAAATGGTTTCATCGACCACATAAATAGATCAAGAACACTAGCAAAAGCCTTGACGAAGTGCCAGAAGAAGAAAGACGTGGCTATGGCTCAACACAACCGGATTAGATGTTAAAGTGTTTACTTCAATCACAGCAATAGTTGACCGACTAATGTTACTGATATCATACAAAATAGCACGAAATGTTAGTACTGAAATCGACAGTGAAATAGTAAACATACTTGATCATCTTTGCTCGGGTTGAATATTAACATCAACCGAATACGTAATTTAACACAACAATCTTCGATAAGTTTTATTGTCCCACAATTTTAATCCAGACGTAAAAAAATAAAGATGTCAAATACATCTATACACGACTCTATCTCCACCACCAACGGTGGCGCCACCGACAGAGAAAATCTTTCTGTAAAATATAATACAGCTTGATCCAGATCGACAGTACGAAAAGGTATTAATTTCTGCTATGACATGGCATTGAATGACCAATGCTATGGCATGGCATTGAATGACCAACGATCAAACTGGCATCAATGACGATTTTACGTTTAATCCAGGCGCTTGGGTGTCGTTTAAGATACCGAAGGGTCGTATAACGTTAATGACCTAAACAATACGATAAAGGAGCTTAGTACAAAGAATGTAGGTGTTGCAGTAAAGTTTGAGCTTACTCCAAACTAGAATACTATACGTTCTAGAATCACGTTAAAACAACTTGGTAATCGATTTACGCCAGCAATAGGTATTGCGTCGGTTATACGCTTTAATAAACAACAATAGGGATCAATTGTTGAATAAATATATCATATGACGGAAATGTTCGGGTAAACGTTACACGAGTAAACACAATCCTGATCAACTGTTCTATTGCTTCTGGTTCTTACTCTGCTAAGTGTAGCAAAGGACATAAAATTTACAGCTGTTCTTCTCTGTGTTTCTCCGGGATTATCAATGCAAGTTACTCCACGAGAAATAATATATTGTCCAGTTAATATTGAAAGCCAAATAACAAGCATAAACAAGCAACTGACTGATTAATCTGGGCGATAATTTGATCTTAATAATGAATTTTCAAAGGGTTTTTACACCTATGCGTTGCGGAGTAACATTTCTACAATTGTTTAATGAGTTTAGTAGGGCAATATTAGATAAACAAAATGAACAAAAAAATACCGACGAAACATCGTAGGTGTTCGTTTTTAGTATATGTTCTTAAATTGTTGAAAATATATATGGAATCGCGCATAAATTTGCACCAATTGCAATTGATGCATCGAAAGATTTGTCGACTTTAGCCGCATCTGCTGGTGAAAGCGCATTTGCACATCTCCGACAAGATTAAAGGCAACGCTGATGTAGTCGTGCAAAGTGGTGTGCCAACAACAACAGAAATAAAGCAAGCAATTTCAGATATTGCACAATCAGCAGATACTAAACGAGCATTGATTCATACAACAAAAAAAAAACGAATCTCCGAGTTGTGGGGAAATTATAGAAAAAATAGTGAAAAAAACTAATCGAATTAATACCTGTTGCTTTTTCGATGATTTTATATGGCAGTTATGAATAAAATATCAATTAAAAATTATCTTGATCATACCGAAGAATTTGATATCGACAACTCAAACGAACGAAATCAAGCTGATGTTCGAACTTTAATACCAGAGACTAAGATGTAGTTTTGTTGCTGCATAAAGCGGTGTAATGAGTTCCTGGTCAAATACTGAATGCAGTTGGTGGTGCTATTACAGCTAACACTGAAGTTTCACTAATCAACAACAGCTGGAGGTTATTAAAAATCTCACGATACCAGCTGGCTAATTAAATAGTATCGGATATTTCAATGAACTTTCCTGTTGCAAGAACAACTGTTAACATTGTCTCGTTCAGCGAAGATTATTCTAGGTCGGTGGCAACAAACAGGACAAGCAGTTGTAAGTGAATTTATTTCAAAATGTGTTATTGAACACCGCGCTGACGTTGCTGCAGATCTTGACACTGTAAGAAATAATCTTATTGCGAATGCTGCTAATTTTGGTATAGTTGCGTGAGGTAAAGATGGAGAAGTAGGTGCTGCTAGAACATTGTTGACAACTGTATGAAGTAATTTTCATGAAATATATCTAGGTGCAGCTGCAGATGGTTATGCAATGTTAGATTACTGAATCAGATAATAAACACAAGGAATATATTTTACAACGAAGGTTTTGCTAAACGAAAAGAATTTGATACAGAATCGCGTCAAATAACAATAATGTTGCTGTAAAGCACAATATTTTGATTTTGTCGCGACTGTAACAAAGTAGTTCGTGGACTAAAGCATGAACTCGTACTTGATCGGGCAGAATAAAACGATTGTTTGCTACGAGTTGTTGGAGCCGACATGTATTTTGTGACTGGGCTACAATGGCTTTGGATGCAAGGAATTGTTGCGTCGGTCACCAAATCAATATAACTAACAACGATCACAAAAATATATATTTTCAGCGGAATAAAATATATAAAAACCGTCATTCCAAATACAGCGACTACACACGGCGTATTACAACTGCGCCTAGCGAGCAATTGCCAAGACATCTGTTTGTTGTTTTGGAAGATCGTCGTTGTATTAATCATTATAATTGATGCTGACGCAAAAACAAGTAACAATACTACTTAATCGCAAAGCGATCGAAAGAAACATGTTTGTTTTTAATCTATCAAAAATTCAAGCGACGACGATGACAATAGCGGTTTCTTCGGACCAACACTTGTAGTAATAGACAAAACAGTATTAACTGAACTCCAACCGGCACTTGGAACACTCTGAATCTCCGCTGCATCAGGAGCAATATCCGGAGCAACTAAGAAGCGGTATCTGGTGACGGTATCAATCCAATTATGTGAAGTTCTTAGAGTTTTCAAACTTAAAATTCATCGAACTTTCTCTTTTTCATTTATCTAGCATTAAGAAATAAAATTGCCAATCAAAAATATCAACAAAATCAAGACAAAATAGAGTAAGTAAAAATATACACCAGTGAACGCAACGCGTTATCAGTGGTCGCGCAAGATGCAAAACCGCAAAGTGGTCGAGGGCGGAGTTTTAGGTATACTGTTAGCAGGACTGACTGGCAGTCTACTGCCAAATATATTGGGGATAGGCAGAAGAGTCGGGGTTTCAAGATCACTAATGCTGCCGGGAACCCGACGCTAAAGCAATCACGCTGAGTAATTTCGATATACTTGATAAACTAAAGTCAGTATAAAGGATTTCATGAGTATATTCTAATGACGAGTAAACGAGCAACCCATAAACAGGCGGTTCATGTGTAATTAATGTACGAAATGTCGACGATGGGTCAGGTACTCGTTGGGTAACGGTTTATAAAAATAAGTATTTTCATACGTTTGGCACTCCTCCAGGTAATGTCATTACGAAATATTAGCAGAATTCCAGGGTTCCGAAAATACAAAACAATAAATTATTCTTCTAACCAACTATAGCTAGTTGGAACTTCTTGTGGTTATTATCATTGTTATGTTTGTCAAACAGATGTCGTCAACTACAAATTCTATAAACTCCACCAATAACTTTTTTAGGTTTATCCTGTAGTTTGAAAAATATCCTAGCTTGGATAATGATGCATTTTGTGTGGCAAATGTAAATAATGTCGACAACATATTGTTTCAAAAGTAAAGCTAAAACAGGTAAGCTGATAAAGTGAAAAACAATAACACTGATATTAAAAAATATTTATGTTATTTGTGATGAAATAAAATGTATGTTCCTAAAACAGGAAAAGTAGTTGCTAGAAGAAATGACATTATTATAATATCGCCCAAAACATCACCGCGACGAAGTCGTCCTGATAAAGTTATTTTGTTTGGTGACTAAAATAATTTTGTTTTTATCCTGAAAAAAAATAAAAAGATGAATTGCAACTGTGATTCTGATAAATATCTTTGTATCAAACAAGATAAATTTGTTACATACTGTCAGCGTAGCAATCACGAGACCGGATTTGAAGAGATTCGATTTGGAGAACAAGCGCAGACGTTGGAAAAGTTGTAAATGAAGACAATAGCGACTGAATTACACAAACATCAAATAATTCAACGACGTAAGGCTATCGCAAATGCAGTTGATACTATCTGGGCAATAGATCTAATAGATATGTCTAGCTTAGCACGATACAATAATAACCAAACTTATTTGTTCAACGTTAGTGATGTTTTAAGTTAAGCAAGTACGCGTTTAGTATACTGGTTGGTGATAGAACAGGAACGCCAATAATTGATGAAAGAAAACAAATTATTATTAGTAC